TTCTACTATTACGACGACGACGACTACTACAATTGCTGCACTTGTACGAGGCTAAACAGGATCACATATACGAGGCTCAATGACTCAAAGCAAACCATTTTACCACAGCGGTGGGAATCATTAATAATTCCCTGAGTCCTAAACCCTAAACCCGAGTTTAATCATACTGGAAACCATTTCACCACAGCGGTGGGAATCATTAATAATTCCCTGAACCCTATTCCCTAAACCCGAATTTTATAATACTATTTATGAGGGTTCCTCATTACAGACCGAGCTATCATATACCCGATTCCCTATTCTATTGCGTAGGCCCTATATTACAAGCCTTTTAGAAAGCATTGTGCAAACCCAGCTCTTATAGATTATAGGGGCCTATATAATTACCAATACTATTTTGGGGGGGTTCATCTTTTTTTTTTGTATAGTATAACGGGCCCCAAAACCCTATTCTAATTATTCAGGTGCCAGCTCTTTTCAAACCCTCGAAGAAGGTATAGGGTTTTATTTACAGTTCTCTTTAAGGGCAGTAAGGGTTCTATAATGCCCCCCCCTAAACCCCTAAACCCGCAAACCCCTAAACCCTAAACCCAAAACACAGGAGCTTTGCCCCTGGATTTCTTTCCGTTGCAATTGGCATCGGCACTTCGGCAGCAAACCCTACGAAACCCTGAAGCCCAAAGCCCTGAAGCCCTAACAGATACCTTACTTGTCTATGGTTTGGGGCTTTAAGCCCTTGAAGCCGCAAAATCCTAAACCCCCAAACCCGGATAGATACCTCACTCGAAGCCTTTTTGGGGTTTACGGTGTTATGCTCTGTACACCCTAAACCCTAAACCCTAAACCCTAAACCCTGAACCCTAAACCCAAAACCGCCGCAAAATCGGAAAACTCCCAAATCCGAATAGATACCATAAGGGAACCCCAAAATCCTAAATCCGCAAACCCGAATAGATACCTTAAGACCGCAAGGAAACCAGTTTTTGGATATATGGTTTACGGTTTTAAGCCCTTCAAACGGCATAATCCTAAACCTCAGAACCCGAATAGATCCCTGAAGGGAACCCTGTTTGGGGCCTTCTTAAAACCTAACATCCTAGACTCCTCCCGAAACCCGAAACCCTAAAGCCTAAACCCTTTTCTCTACCCCCTAACACCATCACTTCAGGGCAGGGTAAAAGCTCAACCGGACTCAGCGACCTGCGCTGCCGACTTCTTGTAGGGGTCGGAATCATTTGTAATAGCGCTGATGATATAAATCCTGCATTACCTTAAGGACCCTATTCTACGGGAATCAACTGTGGTGAATTCCTTATTATGGGTAATATAGGGTTTATATCATCAACGGTAGTATCTCTTTATTGTCCCGATTTCCGTGTAGCGGAATATCCCTCGGTTCAGGCCCTGTTTTAAGTCCTATACCTTAAACCCTGAACCTTAGACTCTAGAAAGATACCAAAACCCTGAACCCGGAACCCTAAACCCGAAACCCTAAACCCTGAACCCTAAACCCTGAACCCTATACACCCTGAGCCCTAAACCCTAAACCCTGAACCCTGAACCCTAAACCCTAAACCCTAAGGCCGAAGCTCCCTGAAACCTCTAGGTTCCTTTTAAGCCCCAAGCCCCTCGAAGCCCAAATCCCATCACTTCATGATTATGGTTATAGGCTATAGGTCTAAGAGTCTAATTCCCAAAGGCTCCATATATACTACCATTATGGAATTAGGGCCCTAAAGCCATAATAAGTATGGTCTTTTGGGACTTAATTCCATAATGGTAGTATATATGGAGCCTCTAGGATTGTAGCAGAATATACCCTAAACCCTAAACCCTAAACCCTAAACCGTCCCCCCCAAAGCGTATTCTCATTGCTAAGGCCCCTACATTGCAGCCTCAAAGCCCTGCTGAAGGGCCCTACTGTTTAGGGTGTGTGTGGGGGGTTTAGGGTTTAGGGTTTATGGTTTAGGGTTTAGGGTTTAGGGTTTGGGGGGGGGTTACTGTAAGGGCCTGAACAATTAGAATAGGGTTTTGGGAGCTCCTTGTTAGAATTTTCTGATTTGCGTACAACATACCCCAGACCCTATTCTAATTATTAAGGCCCTGATATTACTGTAGGGAGTGTAGGAGTTGAAGAAGTCGAAAATGGAAGGAACGATGGGTTTCCCAAACCGTCAAGCCCGTTTTGTAGTTGACGGTTACCCGGTTACCCTAAGGGTGCAAAGGACCCAACAATAAAGTATTTGGGTCTCGGGCAGTAGCTATGTAGGTTAGAATCGGTTAGAACTTGGGAGAGTATATGACTTATTAGGCACTTGGACCCTTAGGGTTCTTAAGGATTTTAAGACCACAAGCCTTCTGCGCTAAATAACCTGCATAAACCCAAGAATATCCATTCAATCAGTGCAACCGGAACCCTCCAAGACTCTCCTAAGATCCTACTCCCCTATGTGCAGTTGTAAGGAAACTATGCCTTGATATGCGAGGGTCCTGAATGTTCTTGTGCGGTCGGCTTGTGGAATTGTTCTTGTGCGGTCGGCTTGTTGAATTACGTGGCAAATGGGCTGTTTGCGTTGCTGGGTCATATATCCTGGTCCTACACTCTATATAACCTAAGACTTACTTAGTAGCGTGAAACCGTAATATGGACTTTGCACCATAGCTGGCTTCCCTGACAAGTTTCCTCTGTGTTTTAAGGGCTTTTGGATTTAAGTTTGGGTTGGGGATAGTCTCCCTAAGCCCTAAACCCTA